GACCAACTAGAAAGAAATGGCTTTGAAATGAATACTTACCCAATAGCCCAGTATTGGGGGACAATCAAGTATTCCGTAAGCCATATTACTGACTGACAACTGACATTCTGTCGTTAAACTGTAGTTTACTGGCCTACCTGTTATGTTTGCAGTTTCATTCTGATTCCTAAGTCCCAATCAAGCAAGATGTGCATCTACGCCTGACCATAGGTACTCTGGTCGTAAGCGTTTGTCGTCAGCGTGTATGAGTGATGAAGTGCTTAAAAGTAGTGACTGAGTGAACAGTATGCCATGGATTCATTCACACACGATCTGTAATGTACTAAAGACAAACCGCCTGCTGAGAAGCTTGAATTTCCAAACACCAGCCTTCAGTGTACGTCCTTAGGAGCGGAAGTTCGCTGGGGCATTTCGCTGCTTTTAATATGCTGGTGTGATTGTATTCCATTTTTCTGCCTCCTTAAGAGAGCATGGGTTGCAAGCTAATTGAAATCGAGTACGTGAACGGGGTTTCTTGAAGTCTATGGTAGAAGCCTTCGACATCTTAGCTTCATTAAAACCCTAAACCCTGTTGCTGTGATATTTAGTTTCCAGTTTTATTGACAGCTACCTTTTGCAAACCGGGTGATTATCACATACAGAATCGGCACTGGAACTAGATAACGAATTTCCACCAGGTGTCAGCCAAATGATTTGGGATGGACTTAGTTAGGTATTCAGGACCTCCGGGCAATCGTTGGCTATAGGACATTATTTTTATAGGTTCGTCGCTAATTAACACTTTTTCTGATACTACCTGTACATTTTTAAGTTTCCCAAGGCAAATTATAGTGCCATAGGAAGCGATAAACTTGGCAGCTGCTTGTTCGAAATGAAACAGAACTGGGCGACAGTATTTTTAGCATTTTTTCTAGAGTCTAAGAGACCTGCATGAGACATCCACTACTTTATCAGCGTCTATAGGCACTTCCTCAACGTGAGCCGATTGGCGTTTTATCAGCAGCATCCCACGCCACTGCTCCCTGGCCAGCTGCTACACTCTTTACAACTTCGGGAAAGAGACAATAGATTACACTGTATGCCTGAGGCACGGTGTCGGGCCCCGCCAGGAATTTGTTTGCAGCGTCTACATGAGTCGTGTTACACTTCAAATGTCCTGTGTCCTGAATATTTCGTTTAATATCCGCTACGTCAGTAGGAATCCCATGAGCTAAGTGGATCTTAGTGTGCGGTTCGTCCACTTGCAGCCACAGGTCTTGGGTTGCATCTTTAGGTTCTGAGATAGCTGAGAGTTCTGTATTGAGGACTTTAAACTTAAATTCGGTTGACGCCACAACACCCAGTGGATCTTTTACAGCGTTAATCTGACACACTGATACTACCTACTGTTGATTTATGCGCCGATAATCCTCAATTGTCATGCTCGTCATCGGGCTGCTTGTCAAAAGATTCGTCGGTTTTATAATCAGTGTCCCAGTTTCGTACAGATATCATTATTGCTGAGGCTCGTATTAGTCTCACAAAAGTGGTTTGTCATTAGCTCTTCCACTACTTTGAATTTTGCTGGGGCTCTAAGGAGCAATTTTCTTTGGGTTTTAACTCAGGGTTTATCAGTATTTTTCTTCTTTACAGTGAAGTCAGAGAAGTGCAATCAGCTTGACATACTTAGTAGCACGCGAAAGATTCGTGCCAAAGTCCAGCTATGAATGCCTTTGTGGCAGCTTGCTCAAGCCGCAACGTTTCAACAACATAGAGTTGGGAATTTCTTGTACGAGGTGTATTTTTGCTTGTGTAATCCCGGCGTAGTATATTAGAACAAATACCAAAATAAACAAATATTGTTCTAATATACTACGCCGGGATTACGCAAGTAAAAATACGCCTTATACAATGAATCATCGGCGCCCAAGTTTTTTCAAACCATCCAGTCCATTGTTGGTCAGCATACCTCCAAACTTAAGAATTTCTGTTTGTTATGCGGGCACTGTGGATGAGGAACAGAGCGAAACAACAGCCAAAAACAGTGTGGCAATAAACTGGGAATGGCATGAATAGCCACTTAATTTCAGATAAGTTCGCGATGTCCATCAAGTGAGAAAGAAGAAAATGAACAGCAAGGAGGTCCTCTTGTTAAGTACCAGATGCCAATATAAGAGCCTGATCTTCACCTTTGCATACTGAGTTTGCGTGGGATCTCAGCCTGGCAAAGCATATCCGCTTTGGGCTTGCAGATTATCACGGTATGGCTGATCTTACGCAGGGGCCTAAGATGCTGGATAAAGATCTCAACATGTGCCTGAGGGAACACTAACTGTGAAAATGACAGGGCATACCGATAATCCGATCGAATTGCTGCTCTTGCGCATCGTATCGCAGGAAAGGAAACTGACGCTTCCGCTAACCTGTCGTCAAAATTTACATGATGTTTCTGTTGTTAGGCTATCACAGTCAACTTTTGGTATGCTTAGGATTCCAGTTGGTGAGCATCTGCACCTACTTGTCCAGAAAGTCACCTCATTCAGGAGGAACCCTTCTGCCTCTCATTCAGGACTAAAATACACTGCGAATAAGTTAAAAATCCAACCTTTGCAACTCAGTCAGCAACACAGCATTTTGAACGACCAACTTTCATGGAAACCGTGCCTTAAGCCCTACTGATTAAAAATTCTTCACGTATTGGGTGAATACACTATCTCTACATGCTAGTGTATCACCTCAAAAAGGAAAGAATCCTTTTTAATTTGCTTCATTGTCTCCGACCTCAGGAGAGAGACGAGTTTCGGGACGGAAATTATGACAAGGTTTTCCAGGCCTAATGCGTGTCTTAGCCCGGGCAACTTATTCATGGCAATACGCGTGCTTGTATACAAGATGATAAAGCCGCTTGAATGAGTTCGTCGAATTTGTGGATGTTTTAGATCATTTTCTCCAAAGCCTAGCCAAACGAAAACCTACCACTTAAGGATGCCCTTCAACTAATCGGAATCTTTGCTCGCGAAACCGCCAGTTTTTCGAATTAGGCGAGTACGGCTTATAATAAGGTCTCTTTCCTCTGCCCACTTACGTATGATCATAATTACTGGAAATTTGTGTCGGCAAAAGTCACCTTTTTGCTTATTCTGTGCACTTTAATAAGGATAAACCGTGGCATTTCATCTGGTAATACCTCATCGGCAAACCTTTGAACTTCACTATGGTTGTGCCCACAACGGTTACGTGGTTCAGAGTACCTACTTTCTCCAAATTTATGGAAAAACACAGATTCTTCATGGAGTCCTACTTTTCCGTGCTCCGCTGTGTGTCGATAGTTGACCGGGTTCTGGTAAGCTGCTCGTTTTCGGCCACTTGCTTTGTTTGGTTCTCTGAATATGGAATGCTAATCGAAATCTGCCTCAATAACTTTCACAATACTAACCATAAATTGGAACTTCATATGTTGTGCACGCGTTGTCGCTAGTTGAGTCACTGAAGTGGCTAGGGCCTGCGACTGCAATGCCTCTCGGGCCCCGACAGTGCGCTACCCCGATTCATCTTAAGGCTTGCAGTTTTCAAATTAGATTTGCAAACTTTGATGATGCAGGAAACCGTTGTTCATTTATGTCCTTAAGAGATCTGTATGGCTGCCACTGAATCACTTTCATATTCAATACAACGCATACCAATGTGAAGTGGGACCCCGAAATACCATGACCATTTCTGAGAGCTTGGGTCAGGAACTTCATAGAGGTTCGTGCTGAGGTTGAAATGGGTACAGATTGAGCGCGAAAGATTCTGAGAAGGCTATCTTCTTAATGTTAATTGAATAAAACATTTTTAAAGGGAAGGAACTCTGGTAAGATTGTATGTGAAACCTGACTCTGGGTAAGGTACTGCAAAGCTGTAGGTGAGCGACTATTTGGAAGTCACCCAAAAAGTTCCTCATTGTACTTCAATCGAAAAGTGACTCAGTGAAGGAAAGGTCAAAATTGGCTTTTGCATGTAAACACAAAAAAGGCGAAAGATTTGAGTGAAGGCTAAAAAATTTCTCTTGTTTCAAAGCGCATGAAGTTTGCGATACTACTGGATACCTGATGGATCTTGCGAAGATACCGGGATCACTTTCTAGAAAGTCAGGCATGATAAGGCAATCGCATAGAATCATGCTGACTGCCTTTCGCTCACACAACATAAACTGGAGAATTCACTCTCAAAGGACGGATAAATGTTTTATTGGCTTATGTTTCTTGAGATAGGAAGAAGAAATCTAACTGCGCCACTCCACAGATTCCTTAAAGTTGTGACAGCAGAACCCGGGCCGCAACAAACCAGTCAGCTTAGATACCCAGGCCTGAAAGAAACCCATAACATCCCATGTTAGGAGCAAATTATCTGAGGCGATTATGAAGTAACTAGATTGCAAGTAGTCTTCTGACAGTCGGATGGTATTCACCGCAATTATTCTCATTTCATGCTATCTATTGCGTCACACTCCCGTAGGTTGCCACTGAGTGTTTCCATTGGTGTTCGGTCATTAGTTGAGATATCGGTCACTTAACAGACAAGGATAATCTGCCAAAGATTCTCGAGTATAGCCCATCCGTGCCGTAAGACTCGAAAGGAGGCTAGACGCACACCTCGAGTCTTATGTTACCGATGGGCTATACTCGAGAAGCTTTCCTCAGATCATATGCAGTACTACTAGAGACAAGATTAATTAATTATTCGTATCTCTATCCTTTCAGGTTTTTCAGAACCGGAAAGATAATTGTGACCATTCTAAACTCAGAACGTATTCCGATAAGACAGACGTAGAACGTAAGGAACCGCAGTTCACTAATTCTACAACACGAAGTTTGAAGTTTGAAATGGAAGACAGCAAAACTCCATGTTAGTCGAAGTGCAGCTAGACTATAAGGTACAAGTATTCCTAGGTGGCAATAAAACATTAAAGTGATGCTAAGTTCAAACTTTAAATTTTCAAGTCATCTGAGTAGGTTATATTGTTCAGTTTAACTTCATTTGTTGGAGGGTCCTCCGAAAATGCCGCAACAGGATTCTTGAAAGGTTGTGAGAGCACTTTGGCATGTGAGGTTTTAGGCGTAGATGTCATTCCTGTTTCATGATTTTAAACTTGCTACTATTTTAATGTTTAAAACTGAAATTCATTCTCTGAACACTGTTTACGACGTCTACTCTGTCTTTCCAGTTTGGTTTTCCTCTTCAAATTATTGGATCAAACATCCCTTAGCCAACCAGTTAGATATCCAAACATTAAAATGAACGAAGCACGGAATAAAAATCTAGAGGCTTCTCTTTTTCTAGGCTTGAGTCATCATGCTGTCTATTTTTGTATACCGGTTATTGGTCGGCAGTTTGGTACGTGATTCACCCATATTTTCTGAAAATTAATCTTCAGGCGTTAGTGTTTCACCTTTTATTATATCCTAGGTGAAAAATAATAAGTATTCAGTGGAAACAACAGAAACGTTTGCATTGATGGAGTGCGGCGATTAGAAATCTAAGTGGTTCAAGTTTAATCACTTAGGTAGTTATACTCAAGTACGTACTCTCTAATCTAACTAGACAATAAAGGGAGACTGGTTCACTCTTGTTTCTTCAGTGAACAGTGAGAATTACATTCTGTTGGGATATAGAGGAATTTTGAGGCAAATTCAATTTTGCGGAGACTGGACTGTCTGTACTAACCCTTAGAGTAGTCATCTCTGTGAAGGTCTGGTTTTCTCTTGACTTTGTCACCGAATGAGCTACTGCCACTTACTCCTGTAAACAGTTGCAGTTGTTGGTCGCTGTGATAAAACTGGTACGGTGGCCGAAGATGCTTTGACCGCGGTTTTTTGATCTTTTTCGTATAGCCTCCAAAGTGGTCACTCCTGAAGGAATTACAAGTTAACTAAATCAATGCCTGAGTCACTATTCAAAATGCGAAATGCTGAAGTTAAATCACGTCTACAGTACGACAAAGAATATAGACCTAGTAGAGGTTGAGTTTTATGTAGCATGGATCATAAAATTTGATGATTGTTTATTCAAGATGGTTACACATAATACACTTGGATCTACTCATAGGCTGCTTTTGGAATGTGAATCACTCCTTTATGGTGTTTCCAAAAGATAAACAAGGTTTTGTGATCAATGCCCCAACACAATGCGTGAATTCTTAAACTACACATTTTTAGTTAGATTAGGCGTCCAAGGGGAAATATGCTGAAGGTATATCTCAGCAGACAAATGGATTTACAAGAATGTTTAAAACCATCCGTACATAAAAATTTGGGAATAATTCCTTACTGTAGACAGTCCAAATTGAAGATACGATGACTATCGAGGTCGTGTGATAGTGGTCCAATTTGTGGATATCTAACCCAAGTCGAAACTCGAGTCAGATGAGCGTAGACCAGTATTCATTGGTCATCTAGTTAGGTGATGAGAAGACGGTTACTTAAGCACCAAGAAACACCGAAACAATACTCGAAAAGTACTGTAAAATCAAGCTACAGCACCAGTCATCCTATACAGGTCACGCATCTCGAATGTGATCAGGTACCTGAAACAAGTACATTTAGTAAACGTATGCCCGTTTATGAAGTAGGCAGTGAGCCACATCCACTCTGTGAGGGCTATTAGTACTGCCTGGACACCCAGATCTCAGTAGGTCAAGCGGGCTTCGATCTCCTGACTGGTTGACGTCGAATGCCTAAACCAATGAGCCACAGCCCTACATACCTTAGATAAAACTAAGGAGTACCTAGCATGTGCATCATGAGTGTCCTGCAGAGCACTTTGGTTCAAGTGAAGGAAAATATTCTCCGGAATTTGCAATCTATCTGAGCACCACCTAAAAACTCAGCAGGGCTCAAAATGCTGAGAAATTTCAACTGAAGCTGTGGATCGTAGAGCTTTGCATCACAAAGTAGTCTTTAATGGTTGGCATTATTCAGACGCATTTTAAACTTGATAAAGTAGGCAATCCTGGTAGTCTGTTCACCTTGTGTGACCCTTGTAAAAATAAAGACACGAAGAGAATAATGTTTTTGACGATGGGTGTCTTCGTAACATCGCTTAGAATAGTGGGGCCACCGTGGTGGGATTGCTGATGTAAGGTGAAGGATACTAGGCACGATAGGGCAGTCAGTCTGTTAGGTCGTAGACGTCCGTAGCCTGAGTAGGTGGCTTGGGTATGTATTTTACTTACTTGTCCATGACTGAGACTTAGTCCGAGCCATGTAGGGAAGTGCAAACTGTCTAATTGGTGTCTTCGAAATGGCAGAAGGCAGTGGTTTGAGAACCTTAGTGGTATGGCTGAAAATTGATGGCGCAGATATATTCGCTGCTTGAACATTTTCACTAACTACCTACAAATTATTTCTCCTACCATACCCCTTTGTCTACTTTGTTATGTGTTTGTGTCCGCTTGTTGTTTACCTGCTGCTGTGAAGTCTGGCAACTTAAAGTGATGCACTCGAATGAGGTTCTACCTTAAGTTATTTAATGTCTTTGAGAAACAGGCCTTTTTTATATCACTGAGGAAACTTTATCGCTGACAAAGTATAGGTTTGCTAGTGGTGAACTAACGTTATGTATCCCTGTGGAGAATTCTTTGGCTAACAGCTGGACAGTCACTTAAACCTTCCAAAAAAGAAACCTATCTGTGCATTCAAACGCCTCGCTATCTGCAGTATGGATAATGATACAGGTCATATCTGGGGCATCAGTTCACACTTGAGGGATAGAAGGGAATGCTTATGAAAAACGTTCCTCATGAACTCTACTGGTCATTGATACCATCCATAGTTTCTCATAAAACTTCTTCAGCGCCACAACATACCTTTTCAGCGCTCGCTTATTACCATAGGACAAGTTCAAGCAAATCAACCTAGAACCCTGTGCAGAAGTGTGCCAGTTGGATCTTTTACCATCCGCAACTCGAGAAAGATAAGGAAAGAGTCATTTTAAAACAACTAACTTTTGAGGATAGTGAAGACTCTACATCTTCGCCATTGTGATCGATTCTGAGCCACACAACCAAAAGTCGCCAACCTTTTGTTCCTTATTGCTCAAGCACCCTAGACGTGCAGCTTATACTGGTGAAACAAACACAAAAGCATCCTAGTTTTGCGCCATATGTTTGTCTTATCACCATCGACTTCCTTTCAACCTAATGCCACTGGGATTCGAAGAAGATGGGTTGTCACAACACAACCAGGTGCTTCGAATGGTGTATCGAGGTTGTGCATTGAAGTAATATGATGTAACTCAATCCGGTATGTTTATGTACTAAGCTGTAAGCCACACTTATGTAAGTATTTATGATACTAACCGACTACCCAGGTGTAGGTGGAGAGGGGTTTGAACCTCACTCCTTCCATGTATCCTGTGGAATAACTTCATAAACGTTGGGTTGTAACACTTCGCATCATCGACCAATCTATAGTTTATGAATAACATTATTTTAATGATCTGGGATGCTATGGAAATGTCTTCTAGCGATGTTACATAAAAATCCGGAAGTGTTCAGGTGATTAACAATATAGTGTAGTATAATTTCGTATCGGTTTGCCATATTTTTCGCTGATGGAAATAATATTGACACTTGTAGAAAGCTATATGAAAAACAGGAAAGATAATAGAAATAAGGACAAATAATGAAAATTTTGGAACTTAGTTGGTGGTATGACATCTCAGTAGTGACTGTGAAAGTGGGATGGTTATGTTGGTTGCGTAATGAGAGATGTATTAGCCTGTGAATATCCGATGAAAACTAGTGCAGACAAAACAAAAAGTTGAGTTTCTACAACTTATCGTTTTTGGGTCAATTGGTTTCAAGTCTGCTTTGCGAAAAGTAGTTACGTAGTAAAAATCCTTTTAATTCCAGTATTTGGTTGAAACAATCAATACATTTTGAGTGTATGGGTTTATTCAAAGCATTAGCTGCACGCTGCAGAGATTTTAAAATACTAAATTAGCTATAAAAAAAACTCACTTTTCTACGAATCTTTGTGAATTCAATGAAGTTTGTTTAGTTGGTCATGTTTTTTGAAGGAATTAGCTTGATGTTAGTTAGACATTACTAATCTGCATATTACTATTGTTCGTATTAAAACGTGGCGTTAAGTTGTTGTTCTAATAAGAATTAGAACTTGTATAAAACTTCTGAAATGTTTCGATGATTGTTAAGAACAGTATAAAACACAACACAACAGAAAAACACAACGGTCCAAGTTACTACACTCCGTTTTTGTAGAGCCAACAGTAGCCAAAATAGGAAAAGGTAACCGGGAAATCGAGACATTAAAAGATGAAAGGCTGGAATATTCTAGGATAGTTATTTAATCGTAATTGAAATGCACTCAACAACCTTGTGTACATTTTTACAGTAAGCAGTGAGCCATACATATTGTGCGAAGGCTAATGACGCTACCTGCCTGCCTGAACCTCGGTGAGTGAAACGGTTTACGAACCTGCGACCCCTTAGTTATCTTTCTAAACCGGTGAGCGACAGCTTTTCTGGGATAACATGGTATTCCATATCCAGAGCAAGATGAAGTGCAAATCTACCTTTGTCATCGAGACCGGTTTTTTAATCCATATCACTGAGTGCGTTCCCATTTACGCTTCCCTTATCGTTGAGGCATTAAGCGCTTGGCTTGTGATTACTGACTGCTTACTCAGGAGCATTATTTCTCCACATCCTTTTTTCTTTGGTTTCATGTGAAATGGTTACTTTCTATTCTCTTTTCTATTTCTCATAGGTTTGAACATGAAATAGCTCTATCTCAGGGATCTGTGGTTTAATTTTTCTTCGTATTTTTACAAATCAAACTACTAATGACTTAAACCAGATTATTACTACTATGCAGGATGAAAGAATAATTGACCGTCAATTATCTATCTTTCTACAATCAATTAAAATGCTCAATTGGAATTTCTAAATTTAATTCCTACTTTTTTAGTCACATCCCTTTGTTAATCATTTATATTTCATAGTTAAATATGTTTAATGCACCTTCAACTATATCGAATACACCTTCAACTCCACCGTCTTCTGTGAAATTATTGTCTATTGATGAACATGCTCAAACGTTACAGTTTATTGGCAGTCAGAATAATCATAATGTGATTATGGATGATTCCTTGTGTACGATCGATGATTCATCTGAACATGAAACTCAGGATCTTTTGAATAATATTCATCATAACAGTCCCAACAAAAACAATAACAATTACTTACTGAATTCCAATAATAATAAAAATACCTCATTTTCTTCAAGTGTTACAGATCTTTCTTCACCATCATCTCTTTTGCATTGTGAGAATTGTCCTATATGCGGAGATAAAGTATCTGGTTATCATTATGGTCTGCCGACATGTGAATCTTGTAAAGGTAAAATAGTACTTTAACATTTTTTTAAAATATTATTCTCTACTAATATCTTGTTCTCTTTAAGGATTTTTCAAACGTACAGTACAAAATAAAAAGGAATATCATTGTAATGAACAAGGGAGTTGTGTTATTGACCGAATGCATCGGAAAAGATGTGCTTATTGTCGATTTCAAAAGTGTTTAACTGTTGGTATGCGAGTAGAAGGTAAGATTTTCATGATATTATCTTATGCATTCTTTGATGAGTGTGTTTGTCTAATCATATTCTGTTTCTTTTTGAGTCACTTAACACTATATAGCCTACTATTTTTTGATTCGAAATGCGGACTATTTTAATCTTCGACTTGAGCAACTGGTTATTATCGTAAACTGTTGCAAAAAATGCATGACTGATAGCCTACCTAATACGTAAACACATGTACCAGGTTGAGTAGCATCATTATTTGTATTTGTAGGCTTATGTTAAGCGATATCATTATAGGGAAGCTAAGTAGTTCAGCATATAGGTTCATGGATTAAGATCCCCTATGAAAGCTTAGTTGGAAACAGCAGACGTTCTGCACTTGTATCGCTGTTAAAATAACCTACCACTTGTCAAGAATCTTCTACTTAGCAGTAAAAAGTTATATACTACGTGTTTATGGGACATCATTCTTGGCGTTGAACAGTGTGAAAAAACTGTGTACGTCAGTGGCATCAGTAAATAAAGCAAATAATATGAGTTTATGAAACCAATGATGCCTCACTCGTAAGGAATCAGCCATCTACTCTGATATTCTATATTAAATATAATGAGAACGGGGTGAAAGTGTTGTCATGTTGATCACATCATTATGGTGGTTTGGTGTTCTTTGATCTTTGATCAGAATTAAACTGTTAGTCCACTGATTGATATATTATTCAATAATATCCAGATGTGAAGTGTGACAACGTGGACGGTTACGCAGTAATGCCTGGTCCTTTATTGGTGATGGTGATGGGCTACATAGTCGGTGTCTGCAAACTGCTTTAAAACCACACTAATATTAGACACCTAGTGAGGTCGCTTAAAATCAGCTGTAGTGTTGTGATATCTTCCTTGGAATTTTACATTTCCAATCAGTCTTTTCTGTGGTTCCTTTCGCTCTTATGTGTAGTAGTATTTATGGAACATTTTAACGCTCTCTCTCCCGCGCCTACTTCATCTTTTCCCCAATGATGCTATGTAATAGTACCTTCTATAAAGTATTTTCCATTAGGACATTTCATTTTTTATTCTTAGAAAAGAGTTGTCATTTTATCCTACCATTCTAAACACATTCTGTTAACAAGACAGTTTTCACTATTAAACTTCCTGTAATACACTAGCATATATTACCTCGTTAGAGATAGACAGAAATATGATTAAGGGCCAGTAGATACTGTCTCACTCAGTCAGCTTCATATAAATTGTGATGGCTACATGATGTCTATAGTTTGCCTTCTGAAACGCTATTCAAATATGTAAAGAAAGACCACGTAAAACACTTAGGAGGTCATGATCTTTACAATATAATATTTAGATAAGTGTGAAATAAAAGCTTACCTTATAAGATCATCAAAACATCAACTCTCGAATTCTCAACTCCGGTCATCAGACACATTTTACTCTTTGTTTCCTTACTAAAGTTAGGTGAAACATAATTATCAAATGTCACGGGCGGTTTCAGTTGCATAGAAGTTACTTTTCTGGCTGTACCATTGGTGTTTCAATGAATGGGTGTTATTGATGTATTCTCGTGCTATGGATAACCAGTCTAAGAGTAGACAAACCTAAAAGGTTAACTATGTATTTAATGTTATTTTGCCAGTACGTGTATCATACCTAACTGTATCGATTATTTCCCGTGGGTTGAATAAACCCTAAGGTCATCCTAGCGACTGCTAAAACCAACATGGTTTCATTTTTCCACGTTAACCCGCGTTTTCAAGAGTAACTTTAATGGCGACTCTAGTAACTGCTGTATAGACCAATTAGGCTTCTGTATATCTCCTGGAAAAGTACTTTTCCATCAAATAAAGGAATGTAATTGTATGTCTCATCCGTTGCTAGGGTGACCTTTAAATATGTTGCACAGTGAAATAGTACCATTTATTGAATATGAATAGGGCAAATAAATTTTGTCGGAAACGTCATCCAGTAAATAGTATTCTTTCACTGTAATGACACATCTGATAGACAGACTAGACACTAATGTTTTCGTTATTTTGTCTCGAGGGTAGTCCCTTCATAACATAATGAAAACATATTGATCATTTTACTAGTTGCTAAAGTGACGTTTGGATTTGAATACCTACTACCTTCTTCCTAGTTTTGGGATCACTTTAAAGGTCGTCCTAGCGAATGCTGTGTTGGCCTATCAAGTCAGTCCTAGTTCTGAGTGAATGACTCTAAAGCATACCCTAGAAACCAATGAAATAACCAGTTAGAAGTGACTTTAAAAGGCATCATATTCACTACTGAAACGACCTACTAAATTTCTCCGTCGTAAAAAAGTACCTTCTCAGCCGAAATAAAAAAAACCCTACTGGTTATTTTGAATGGTTGCTAGAGTGGCATTTAAAGCCACTCATCAATCAAACTTCTCTCTTTTATCAAAATCTGCCTTTCTAACTCTTCTTGCGATTGTTTGTTTGATTGACTCTAGAAGGATTCTGAATTAAGCTCAAGCAACTACTGAAATCCCTAATTGCATATATTCATTCAGTCATGTGTGAAAGGTAGGTTTTTCGTAAAATATAAGGGATGTAGCTCAACATTTCAGTATTTGCTTGGATGACCTTTGTGACCTTTATGTCCTAACAGGTATGTTGGATGCTAAAATTCTTAGGCTGGAAAATACTGAGAACTGTTCTCACTCCTGTATAGGCATCTGCATTTTACTTGTGCCATTAGGGCTGTGACTTACTAGTCTAAGCATTTGAGTCTAAATCAGTTTGTTACAGGTTCGTGACCTGCTCCACCTACCAAAGTTTGGGCAACTAAGTGGTGTAATGAGCCACTAAACAACAGATATCCGTCCTATTGTCTAGTGCACACTTAGTATTTAAACCTGTTTGTTGAAAGTCATGGCATGACAATGCAAAAGAAAACAGGAAATGCTATTCATCTTGTACGTTGATAGGTATTATCAGACAAACCATACAGTCTGACTTTCTTGGTAAAAAGGCTCTGCTTTCGGATCTATCGAACCGTTTACGGTTTCAGTGCTACTCAAGCCTACCGATTTCCAATTTATTACACTAAAGTGAGGTGTTGTGTGTTATTCATCAGATTATGCTATAAAAAGCAGTCAGTCAGTAATAAGATGGGACTTGCCATTACTGCGTAACAGTCGAAGCTGCCATACCTCATACCAACATAGGAAGATAAAATATAGAGGGATAGGGAAGAAACTTACCAAAGTAATAGAAAGTCATCAAAAGAGGGGGTGTGAAACAAAAGGTAATCTGTGAATGTATCTCCTCCTCCACTAACAGCATTGGTTATGAACCATATCACCTAGGGTCTTTATTTACCGATTTACGTTGTCATGTGGCCCCTAACCTTCATGTCTTAGTTTCCTTAAACCTAAACAGTTCAGACCAACAGTCGAAAGCTTCATGAGTTGATGCCATATTTTAGTCTAGTCACCTTCATCACTTTTTTTCAGCCCAAACCTAATTGAGTTGATATTTCCTGACGGGTGGTGGACGTTGACCAAGTAGGCTGGAACATATCCCAACCACCTGAGTGGATGGAAGTTGGTAATCTCATCAACCGAATTACTTCTTTTCCTTCAAACTCTACTCCTGGTTTTTGTTTTAGCGACGTGGTGGTTCCCATGACATATAGTCTATGTCATGAAGACCAAAGGTGGTAGACCATTTGAAAGCTTCTTGCCATGTAAATCACATGTCATTTATTTGTATGTCAGTTGAGTGCTGCTAGTAGTGTGAGATTCATATTCATGATCCAGAGTCCAAGCAACTTAAGTTTACAATCAAATAGTCATAGCTATCAGTTTGTATATTACCATCGTAATTACACCATTTGTTTGTATCAAGACGCAGCTATATATGATTGAGCTTCATATTACGTAGTTTTTCTGTTACGAAAACTAGATTACCTTGTAATTAAATCTCCATTTTTGGGTGTGGACTCAAGCAAATCATGGGGAGACTAAGAACAAATGAGATCAATCGATCTTCTGTTACTTTCATAGCCTACCTCTTTTCTTTCTTTTTTATAACTCTTGCTTTCATTCATTCTGTACGATTTATTCAACAGTAGCGGATGGATGGATGAGTTGAATGATAAATCTATCTTATCTTTTTTTAAATCTCGTTTGTTATCATCATTTTAAGTTATTTGTCCATTTATTTTGTTTTCTCGCTGATCTGATCAATACGTTTTGCACTGTTATGCTTCTCAAGAGGGGGGGGGGGTGAGAAACTGGTTCACATATCTCCCTGTACTACGTCAATAATTGTTTCAACACCTAAGCAAAGGAGATGAGCATACGCTGACTGAACCGATGAAAAGACCCTAGAAGATTTGGATCTCGTCGATGATGGTTTTTTGTCTGATGTCGCACAAACTCGAAGATCTACAGGCGAAAACTAACAAGTTGGCGGAAGAGGCGAGGCAGCAAAGACGGGACTTCAGAAGACAGAGGTGATGAAGATATGCAGCCAAGAATAACACCAAGCACAATTAAAGGGAAAAATCTAAAAGAAGTTGTCTCTTTCACCTACCTATCTACCTAGACAGGATGTTTTCAACCTCAGGCGGCGGCAAAGATGAGGATGTCAAGGCCAGACAGCAAGACAGGCCTTCATCAGTCTGAAATCAGCGTGCAGATCTACTGAACTACACTCAGCATAAGGTGTGAACAAGATACGGATTTTTAACACTAATTCAGTCAAGTTAGTCCTTCTATATGGTTCAGAAACTTGGTGCATTACGAAAAGTATTTCCAACAAACTACAGACATACATCAACAGCTGCTTACGCTGGATACCGAAGATCAGATGGCCAGAAAGAATAAACAACAAGGGACTGTAGCTGGCTGGCAACGAACCAACCAACAACCTATCACCCAACGAATATGCAGAAGAAGATAGTGGAGATAGATTGGGCATACACTGAGAAGGCCGATTGAGGACATCACGTGCCAGGCCAGCCAGGGACCCGAGCGGAATCCAAAGGGGGAACGACGAGTTTGGCGTCTGAGTCAAGGGTGACACGGAGGAGATGGTGTGAGGAAGAAATTAAAGCTTGTGGGCAGTCATGTAGCGCCAGGTTGAAAAGACTGCAGAGAAGAGAATGCAGTGGAGGCGTACTACTGAAGCCCTATGTTCCACTAGGAATCCAAGGAATAAATAATAATAACCTAAGCAAAAGAAATAATTTTTTGTTTATTTCAATGAACGTAGTATTTGTTGTCATGATGATTAAACTACTATTGATAACCTTGGTGATTGAAGTCGAAATAAAAATCTGGTCAGTAGTCAGGTCCCGTAGGTCAGTTGATAGAGCACCGGGTCGGGAACTTGGTGGTCTCTGTTTCGATTTCTACCCTGACCCAATCTTCAATCATCACCCCATTATCAATACTAATAATATTGCTACTACTATTATGATTGGTCTATTAGATGGATATAGGTGAAGAGAACTGTAACATCGGCTGCTCTCTTATTACATGTGGCTATACTAAACCGGATGTATTCGTGCTAAAGACTTGAAACACCATCCTTTTAGCGAGTTATTTATCGGTTATTATAGTTTTTTCTTTTAGTTAAATAATGATAAAAAATCCTAAATACGTTATTTTTTTATTTGTGATGTTAGTAGATTGGAGAATAGGTGTTTGTTGTGGAAGTGAGGTTGTTGTTGGGGCGTGGGGTGGGATGAAGAAGTTGGCGAACGAATTAAAATGTAGACAGTTTTTCATCCCACATATATATTTCTCTTATAAATCACAGACATACAAATAGAGAAAATTGTTTACCCACAAGTATCCATTAATTCATTAAGAATTCTACTTTAGTGTCTATGATATGAACAGATATTTATTAGATGATGGATGAGTTCAATATAATATTATTCTCCAACTCTTTCTTCTCCAAGAATTAATCTTATTTTATACATACATAAATACAACTATATTATTGTTTTCATCGTCGACATCAACAACTGTATACTCACTTGAGTATTGTTTGTTATACATCTTTGAATTCTTCTCTTCTGTATAATGTTTATAGCAATAAGGTAGATTATAATAAAATCGGTTTGTAAAGTTTTGCATTTAGAATGTAATAGTACTAAGTATGATGATAAGAGTGAGTATTTCAGCTGAAGTGAATTTTCCCTTCCTCCTCCTCCTCCTCATCATCATCATCATCATAAACTTTTGTGGATCATTTATATCATTAGTACACAGGTGTACATGTCCATTATTTTGTCCACATTTTCCTCTGAATAGTATTGATTACTAGTAATGATAATAACCTTGCCATTCTTATTTATACTGTAATTTTTCAGCTGTTCGTGAAGATCGTATGAGAGGTGGACGTAGTCGACGTGGACGTTCATCCTATAGTATTGTAACAACACCAAGTCATAGTAATAGTTCTGAAATGGATCATGGAAGGCATATTCTATCATCAAATTCCTCTAATCCTTATTCAAAATCGGTTGATAATGACGTATACACCACTAATACTACTCCTTCACCTCCTAATACTGTTACTATCAGTAGCACTGTTCTTAGTGATATTTTGCCTTCAGGCATAGATGTTGCTACCTCGAACACAGTTACATATAATGATACAGACTGTAGTAATGGGCGATCACCATCCATTATATCACAATTGTCGTCGTCTACAGTCAGCAAGATAACAGGTGAATCGGAATTACTGACTTATTCTTCATCTCAAATATATTCCATCCCACTAACGACTACAACAATAACAACAACAGCAGCAGCAGCACGAACAATCAACACTACAGTGACACTAACATTGTCTGATGAATCTAGCCAATTCAATCAAACTGGGTAAGTTTTGTCTGCTTAGTTGTTTCATTATTGAATACTTTGATTAATATAAGAGTAAAACTTAGGCGTCATGGTAGATGATGATTACATTCCACATTGTGATCTAATAAACGGTTTAAAATGGCGCTATTACTTTGTTTTTGGTAACCTTTATTACTATTGATAATAATAGTGTGACTTCATCTCATTAACTTGACTATCCATCCAACTACCAACTAAATGACTCGTGAACTCAAAGGCTGTTCTGCCTATCAAGGTTTGGGCAACCGGCAAGTATCATTTATTTCTCATATATAACTGGCATAACTTCTTGCTTTTGTAACCTGTGTATAAAGTGTATTTAATATTTTGGAAGCAATGGCATCAGTTCATATTGGTACCGATGAATGGAATCGACGACTTCCTAACAGTAGGAAACATTTCTCTTCACACCAACAAAATAATACCTTATCTTGGATGTCATTTAAAAGGCTCTGTTATATTATATCAACGGAGATGAGGTCATTCACCTTATCATTGTTGTTGCTTCTATTATCCCCTCGTTGAGTGAACCGAATTGATTGGTCTCCATTGGCATATGAACTCCTGCGCAGATGCCTAGATATTGCCTTTGCTTGAATTATATATTAATGATGGGTATCAGCTAGCAGTGGAATCCGGGACGCACATCTCGTCCTATTTAGGACTCGTCAGCTGGGTGTGTCCGCACCCCAGTGAATGGTGTTCCCACCAAGGTTCGAACCCAGGGCCGACTGCTCCAAACGCAAGAGCGTTATCTACTGGGACACCGAGTCACAATAGCTAGTTATTGTGCAGTGGGTATAGTTCTTATCAATTCGGTCCAATCAACGACGACATAATCTAAGGAACAATACTAAAACCATACCTGTCTCACAAGAACTAGCTATTGTGACTCAGTGCCCTCGTAGATAACACTGTGGCGTTTGAAGCAATCAACCTCAGGTGCGAGTCCTAGTGAGAATAATGCTGCTCACTAGTAGGCAGTTACGTCCGGCCGATGAGTCCGAAATAGGACGAAACGTGCGTTTTGGTAGCCACTACCCATTGTTTCACCAACAAATCGAATTGTTCAACCTTTATTGGCATACGGGCTCCCATGCGGATACCTCGATATTGCCTGAATGTTAATTATGATAATTTGGTTGGTTGTGGCTAGCAGAAGAATCCAGGGTGTGCGTTTCATCCTATTCGATACTTGTCAGCTGGACGAAACGCGCATCCTAGATTCTTCTGCTAGCGCCACCAACCCACCAATTTATCATAAATTTATTCTATTTAAACAACTTGTAATTCAATGAAACCTTACAACGTGTAATTAACATTTATTGTAGTAGATGGTTGACATTTTATTTGTGTTTTGTTTTAGTAGGTTTTCATAGGTGAGTACTTTGATTGTATTTTTAAAAACGTTTGTTTCTACTTTGGATTGTTTACAAGGGAATCAATGAAATGCGTGTGATATCTAAACTATGATACCTGATTACATACTCCAGTAGTAAGATGATCAGTAATCCATTGAAATATCAACAACATATTTTATCTCTAATATTAAAAAACTAAATTCTTTCATATTAAAGTTAAATGTTACAATCCACCAAAACTAGTTTGACTGGTCCTTCCATGGTGTGGGCAGCTGGGAAAGTGGTCAACCGCCTTCACAACTCGATCAGCACTCAATTTTCCTCAGACTGCTATCCACCTCCCCCATCATTACGTTCTAATCTTCCTTTACGTCTCTCTCAACTAACGATACTACATCATCTTCAATTTCTTCTAGCTCTTACAGCCTTCGACAACGATCTGAGTTCACAAAAAAATATCCTTGGTCTCTTTAAACCACGCTTTAAATTACATATTGGAGCCTTCAATGATTGATGAGTTTGACTGGTTCACTTCTCAGTTATTGATAAAGCTATTTAGTTACTGATGATGGATAGTGGACTAAGAATATGGTCTATAATATTTATATTCTGATTTTATTATCGTTGAAACTCGAATCCAGCATGAATTGTTTCAAACTCTGGTGTATTATCCACTAGGCTTACTGGGTTATGATTATTTCTTATTGGGAAACACGTGTAATATTCAGCTGATACCTCCTCCCAGGTAGAATGAAATACACGTCTTCGATTCCACTGCTACTAGCTACTATCCCCTATTAGTATCAAATATAAACTATTCGGTGATATCGAATTATGCTGATAGTTGCCGATGTGAATCTACACGTTATAACAGTTATTTAAAGATAGTAAAGAGGACTTGTGGCTTTACTTGAATATGGTATTTAAGTGTTTGAAGTAAGTACTAATGAAGTGGTTCGAGAACAAATCTTAAAGCTCAGTGAACATAAAAGAATGATTAACCGTTACTTGAATTTTAAAATAATTATGTGTATTTAAAAGTAGTATTCATCATGGACTGACATCAGTTGGGGAACCATTGAAAGTCTGGGAGTACTAGACAGCTGTTTTGTCCTAGTATGGGACTCCTCAGCAGTACGCACCCACCACCCGGCTAGAGATCGAACTCAGGACACTCAGGTTTCACGACGAACGCGTTAATCATTCAGCCACTGGGTCGGTTTTCAGTGGTTCACAATTTCCAACTTCTGTCAATTCACGACATATCGCGATTATCACCCAAGGTCTTCAGTTAGCATCCACTTCACTTCCCACTGGTTGACCCCACAGGTCACGGCTTTTCATTAGAGCTTCCTGATATCCATCTGGAAGCAAGTCACTTGTCGGGCAGTGGGTGCGTACTGCTGAGGAGTCCTATACTGGGACGAAACAGCTGTCTAGTACTCCCAGACTTTCAATGGTTCCCCAACTGATGTCAGTCCATCTTAATTACTACTTCTAAGTTAAAAAATCCCCATTTATCTCAAAAATAAATTACGTGTATGTCTATAGGTGAGAATGTGAGTTGATGTTATTTGTCGACTAATGAGACACTTATTCGAAAATAAATTTATAATAGTGTCTGTAGTGTCAAACAGAATTATCTTGATTTGTCTGTCATTCACTGTGGCTAATGTTGTTTATTCTACATGACAATTAATTATTGATAACTTCGTTTTTCTCTCCTAATAACATCACAATAGTCAGTAGTTAGGGTTATTACTCCTACCTTATGCATCCATAGAATATGCCATACTGCCTTTTCATTGTTTTTACCACAGCATCGTGTATTTACTTAAAGGATATATACATTAAAGCGCCGTGAATTACTATGATTTGACTGTAGTTTTGAAATAGTGGAGAATATTTTTAGCTCAGTTGGATGGTCTTGGTTGGATTGTGTTCTCTCAGTTCAGATAGAAAGCCGTAGTTTGGCAAACTATTATTTGTACACTGGGTAATGATTAAATGTAAGATGAGATGAGAATCTGAACGGCGACCGGATTTTCATCCGTTTATCACTAGAATACGAATAGAATGTTTAGTGGTTGAATCACATGATACTGTTGACTCTTTCTTTCCCTTGTTCGTGTGTGTGTGTGTTTTTCAACCTCGTGATGTGAAATCAAAAGGTGAATAGTGATATTTTCTCTGTATGACCTTTTTACATAGTAGTTGATAAACTGATTCTGTGTATAGGTGTAAATATGTATGCACAGTACACACACACAGTTCATTACATTATTATTAGTATACTGTGGTAAACAGCAATTTTCATCCCGTAAATATCAGTGTCACATATATCGTTTAGAAAGTGTTTTCCTATAGATTTACATAGGTCATGTTAGTGTAAATTTATCTAATGATGGGGGAATATCTTATTCAATCATTGACCCAATTTTTAAATAAGCTTTACAGTTAACTAAAAAATGTTGGAATTTGTTTCGGCCTACACCATGAAATTTTTTGATTGTGTATACATTGTAAAAAATAAGTACAACTTAGTAACTGCCTGCAGTCTAACGTACTGAGTTCTGACACACACACACACTTCTTTGAAATCTGGTCCTACTACGCTTGATATTTCATATCAGGTTAGGTGGAGTCTGGTCCAATCTTACGACTGACTCACTAGCTGGTAGAGTAATGGATCAGACTTAATACAGGGATGAAATCCTGCATTACAGCCTTATTCCGATGTATTTGAATTAGGCTAACCGCTACTGGGTTATTCACTTAATCATCATACGTCTTGGCCATCATCTCATCCATTCCCTAATTCTAACCTAATATTTTGAATGACTCTAAAGTCTACCCTAACAACTGTTGTAGCAACCAAGCTAGAGTTCTGTAAATCGCGTAAAAACTACCGTCCTAGTCCAAACAGAGAACTGATTGGTTGTTTCAATTGTTGCTAGGGTGGCTTTTGAAATATACAGCGGCAAAAGACGTGGGCTGTGTGGTCAAATTCTGGTTCACAAGACTGACTAATCATCAAATCAAAGCCATTCATCATTTGTTAATTTTTACCGTGCTTAGCTCTGTTAATCTAGTTACTGTAGTGGACAGTAACTCTAGACTATACTGGATGGGTCGGACACTATCAATTTTTTGGTTGCATTATCCTAATTTACAAAACTTCAACCTATACAGTCTAGAAACTGTATTGTCTCCTATTCATCTAAAGTTGATGGGTACTGGAGGTGAACATTTCAAGCGAAGGTGATAGTTTTAAAATCTGACGACAGTCAGCGAGATCATAGCGATAAATATAGTAATTGGTGGGCAATTTTCACAAAAGCAAATTCTTTCCGAAATGAAAATTACGTTTCTACGATCTTGCCGTTATCACATACTCTTATTGAGGTACTGATGAACACTTTTCAATTTAAGTACAGCACCATTGATGGACACATGGAAGCTGATAGAGGAGAGGAAGATGGTGAAGCAGAAGATAAACCAGTGCAAGGATGCACAACGAGAAGAGGATCTGAGTACAGTGTATAAAACACTGGACAAAGAAGTGTACAAGAGTGCACGCAAAGACAAAAGACACTTCCACGACACACTGGCAAGTGA